GGGGGGGGGGGGGGAAGGAGGGGCCTAAGACCTCCTTGAGGACAAGGATCTCTGTGATTGGGGAGAAAGCGTCCTAAGTGTGCTCTGCAGTGGGAATGGGAATGAGGGATTGCTGGATAACTTGACCAAGGATTGCTCTTCTTTTACTTCCCATCTCCCGCAGCCCCCGTGGTTCTGGACGCAGCCTCGGCCCACCCGAGCCTAGTCCTTTCTCAGGATCTGAAGAGAGTGAAGCTGAACTCTGCCTACTCTCTGGATGCTGAGGAGCCTGCTGATCCAGCAAGCTTCTATCCATTCCGCTGTGTGTTGGGCTCACCGGGTTTCTCCTCCGGCCGCCACGCCTGGGAGGTGGAGCTCCAAGGCCCGGGGGGCGGAGCCTGCGTGGTGGGCGTGGCCTCAGAGCACGCGGCGCGCAGGGGCTTCCTGGCGATCGAGCCCATGGCGGGCTTCTGGTGCTTGCGCATCGTGGGGTTTGAGTGCCAGGCGCTCACCGAAGACAACATGCGAGAGGTGCTTCCCTACCGCCTGAACAGAGTGGGTGTCTGCGTGGATCATGATCGTGGGGAAGTCGCCTTCTACGACACCTCCACAGGCAAACACATCTATACTTTCCACGCTTGCTTCCCGGGACAGATCTTCCCATTTTTCCGCATTCTGTTTTCTGATACCCAGATCACCCTGAGCCCCTAGAGGGCATCATCGTTCGGTATCTTCCATTTCTCCTTCTTGCCATCCCCTTACTCTGAGAGGTGCTGTAGCTGGTAAAGTTAACGATAAGAATGTTAATATCTTTCACGATCCCTGATGCCTGCATCCACTAGAATTTTTTTCAAAACCTCCCTTCCCACCTCAACGCCTGGGTGAAAAAGATAATTTCAAGTACACGTAAGTTATTTTTTTAACTTGTGTATATAATGTTTTCTTAGAACACAAATCTCTATGGTTACTTTCGTGCAATCGGTGATAGTAGAGTTGAATAGTTGCAAGAAAATACAGGTGCCATCAAATCACCTGCGACTCACAGCTACTGCTATGAAGTACAACAGCTCAGATCCTGCCGTATTATGAGCCAGTCTCACTTACTCCAACAGACCTAATCACATTACCACAGTTTTGTGTCAATCCATCTCATCCAGGGTCTTCCGCTCCTGTGCTGTCTGTCCTTCCACCCATCTGAGCATGATATCCCTCCTGGCCACATGCCCAAAGTATGTGAGACCAAGCTTCAAAATCATAGCCTCCAAAGAGAAGCTTGGTTTCACCCTCTCCAAGATAGACCCATTTGTTTTCGTGGTGGTTCAATACTCTTCTCCAACACCATAGCTCAAAGGCATCAATTCTTCTATTAACCTTAGTTATTATACACATAAGTTGTAATAATACTGGAAACTGTTCAAATGCCCATCAACAGGTTAGGCAAAGAGACCATTCCCGCCGACTGCTTCTGTTTAACCCACCTCCAGCAGTCCCTGGATACAACCTCAGTCTATGAATCTCATTCTTTCCACTACTGGGAAACGACTATGTTGAACTTCTGTCTAGGCGTGTTAGTAATAGTGTTTTCAGTAGTATCATGCCAGCTAAGAAAAGAAATAAGGAATATCTATGAATTGTTGTTGTTGTTATATGCTACAACAGCCCTAAAATCTCCTCTGTCCTGTGCCAACTTTACTGTCTCTGACACATCTACCTCATTACCCCAGTCACTGAATTTAGTCCATTTCATCATTGGTCTCCCTCTCTTTCTCCATCCCTCCACCCTTCCAAGCATTATGTCCCTCTCCAAGGACCAGTCCCTTCTTGCAACATGCCCAAAGTATGTGCTTCAGAATCCTTGCCTCCAAGGAGCAGCCTGGATTCACCCTAAGACAAACTTGTTTGTTCTCCTGGCAGTCCATGGTATATCCAACACTTCTCCAGCACCACAGCATCAATTCTCTTTCTATTATCTCTAGTCATTGGCCTGCTCTCTGGTGCATAGCAAGCAATTGCAAAGACTATGGCCTCGATCAGGTGCACCTTAGTCTCCAGACTGATCACTCATTACTCTGGAGAGGTCTCTGACAGTAGACTTTCCCCAATACAATTCATCTCCTGGTTTCCTGGCTGCTTGGACCAAGAGAGTTGATTGTGGAGCCAAGCAAACTAAAGCTGGTAACAATCTCAATCTCTTCATCATCTATCATAATGCTGTCAACCAGCCCAGTGATGAGAATCTTTGTTTTCTTAATGTTGATCTTCAATCGATACTGAAAGCTGCAGTCCTTGACCTTCTGCAGCAAGTGCTTCAGGTCCTCCTCAGTTTCAGCAAGCAGGGTGTGTCATCTGCATAATGTAGTTTGCTGATGAATCTTCCTCCAATCATGATGCCACATTCTTCCTCATACAGCCCAGCCTCCCAGATAATCTGTTCTGCATGTAGATTGAAAAGGTATAGAGACAGAATACATCCCTGATGTACACCCTTCCTGATTTTAAAACATAAAGTGTCTCCTTGCTCTGTTCTGATGGCTGCTTCCTGGTTCAAATATGGGTTTTGGAAAAGCACAATCAAGTATTCTGGGATTCCCATTCTTCTCAGAGTCAGCCACAGTTTGTTGTGATCCACACAGTCAAACGCCTTTGCATAGTCAGTGAAATAGACATTCCACTGGTACTCTCTGCTTTCAGCCAAGATCCCTCTAACATTAGCTATAATATCCCTAGTACCATGGCCTCTTCTAAACCCAGCCTGCACATCTGGCAGTTCTCTGTTGATATACTGATCTAGTGGTTTTTGGATAATTTTTAGCAGAATCTTGCTTGCATGTGATATTGATTATGTTAAAAAATGTAAATAGTATTGTCTGTATCTCTTGTGTCTTCTCAATAATGCAGTGCTAGTCATTCACATACCATATATAGCCCTTCCCCTCACCCAGTCTGTATGTATTATAGTATAATTTCCAGTATATTTTACTAAGTGGGGAGAAAATGTGGGAACCAGTGCATATGCATACTGTTTATTATTTTTAAATACAGAGTTAAAAGAAAAAACCTAAAGGAGAGATGTTGTGGGAGATGAAAGTTATTCTCCTAAGAATGTACTTTGTTTTGTATATTTGACTATAATACTATGTAAATGTTTTAAATCATTATAAAACAAAATTAAATGAGACAAAGTTAATAATTGTGTAAATATCCAAAGAGACGTTATTTTAAGTGACTTTATTATGTGCCACTGAGCTGAAACCAATCCATAGCTGACCCTCCAGTTTTTCAGAGGCTGTAAATCAGGGGGAGGAGACTGCCCATCTTTCTGCTGTTGAGCAGATGGTGGATTGGAACCACTTGCCTTTGGGTTGAGCTGTGCAACTCTTTACCCACTAGGCCATCAGAATTCCCTAAGCAACTTAAGTATATATCTTTCTTAAGGACTTTTGTACATCTTTAAGTGAGGCCTATACTAATGACAAAAAATAATTCCTTATAAAATAATCATATTTGTACTAAGAATACCATATTAGTACTATTATCCTGATCCTATTATTTATCTCTGTATGTGTATTAACATTTTTCTTTTGAGTCTATTATTTATGTCTATGTATGTGCACATTTATATGTACATAAATGGTAGATGATGGTAAGATAAAGCAAATTAGTAATTTGTTAATGTTTGCTACGGTGACGTACCTGATGTGGCTTTTCTGAGCTATTGTCTTTGCTATTTCATCACATGATGGAGTTGTTGGTAGGTACCTTTGAGATGAGTATGACTCATAGCCATCCTTTCAATAACAGATCTGAACCCTACCATATCCTGTGCCTCTGTCACACTTGAGCCCATTGCTGCAGTCTCTGTATTAATCCACCTGGTTGAGGGTCTTATTCTCTTTCACCATTCCCTCAACCTTCCCAAGCATGATGTTCCTCTCCAGGGAATAGCCTTTCTAAGCAGCATGCCCAAAGTATACTAGATAAAGCTTCACCACCTTTGCCTCCAAGGAGTACTCTGCTGCACCTTCTCCAAAACATATCTGTTTGTTCTTTTCATAGTTCATGAGATATTCCTTACTCTTTTCCAACACCACAGCTCAAAGGCATCAAATCTTCTGTCATCCTTAATCATTGTCTAGCTCTCAGATGCATAGCAAGTGAATGAAAAGGCCAAGGCCTGAATCAGGCTCACCTGAATGCTCAAACTAATATCATTCTCAAATAATTTAGAGAGATCCCCGACTACAGACTTTAACAATGCAATATGTCTCCAGATTGCTGGTAACAAGTATATTGATTGTGGATCCAAGTAAAATAAGATTGTCGACAGTTTCAGCCTTTTCTCCTTCATCATGACCCTGTCTATTGGTCCAGTGGGGAGAATTTTTGTTTGCTTAATATTGAGATGCAATCCATAGTGAAGGCTATAGTCTTTGGTCTTCTGCAGCAAGCACTTCAAGTCCTCATTTTCAGCAAGCAAGGTTGGCTCATCTGCTTATCAAAGGTTGTTGATGAGTCTTCCTCCAATCCTAATGCCACATTCTTCTTTGGAGAGTCCAGTTTCTCGAATAATTTGCTCAGCATACAGATTAAATTGGCCTAGCAGCAAGAAAATGCCTTGCAATCCTGAAGGCATGTGATTTGAGGCCACCAGCTGCTCCACAGGAGAAGGATGGGTGATCTCCTCCCTTGTGATTAACTGCCTCTGATAACCTGTCAAAGGATCAGCTCTCGGTTGGTTCAGACTCTATAGTACCCAACAGATTGACTAGGTATGGAGAGTGATGTATGCTATTCCTGATTTTAAATCATGCAATGTTCCCTTATTCCATTTGGATAATGAACAAGGTTGTTGGTCTAGGTATAGATTTCGTATGAGCACAGTAAGTGTTCTGTCTTGGGTTCCCATTCTTCACAATGTTAACCATAGTTTATTGTAATCCACCCAGTCAAATGAGTTTGTATAGTCAATTAAACACAAACAGACACTCTTCTGATACTCTTTGCTTTCATCCAGGATCTATCTGACATGAATAATGATACCCCTGGCATCATAGCCTCTATTAAACCCAGCTTGAACTGGTAGTTCTCTGTCTATGTGCTTGCTGTTCTAGCCAATTTGTAATGATCTTCAGCAGTATTTTGCTTGCATTGGTATTAATGAAATGTTTGTGGACTAATAAGAAGATTTTATAACTTGCTAATAATGTAAATAAGGTAATGAAAAGTGGGGACATTAAATAAGATGTGTAGAACTTGAAAATGGGGATTGGTCATGTTGGCCATCCTGTCTGCCTTAAAATGACTTAGCTCTGAAGCAAAAACAGGGATCTGACTACTGTCAAGAAGAAATTACCAGAAAATGCAATGTGTTCTTTAGACCTGAGATCTCTTTGAGAACCAGAGATGAAGAACTTTAACACTGGAGAGACTGTATGGGATAGCACTAGAAGAGTGTAAAGACTGCTGGGGCAGCCAAGTCCTACTTCATTAACTCCATAAGAGAAAACAGTCCCCATCAACAATAGTAACAGCACAAACCCGATTCCTCTGAGGTCAGACATTTCTCCATGCTCCCACATTTCCCTCTGTTCTAATACCAGCCATCATTCCCAGGGCTCTCATGCCTCTACTGCTAGGTCTGCTAATCCACTGCAACAGCCACACAGAATTCACAGACTCATATTCACAATTATGTGGTTTATTATGGAAGT